TTTTATTATTATTAAGGTTATTTTTTTATCTTCTTCTCTAAACTCAAATTTTTTTGACATCTTCAAGTCATGGTCTTTTTGCGGTCTAAATTAGAGAATATTTGTTCAAGAATCGAGGTGAGAGCAAGCTCATGATTGTAGTCATAACAGAGACCACAGTGGTAATGCAATCATTGCATTGAGAGATAGATTATGAAAGGGGAAACCAATAATGATTCGATGTACATGAATCGTTGTAGGTACGCAGAAGAGTGGCAATTTGTGGTGTGGTTAGCATGCTTGGTCTGGTCTTGTAGGTGTGGTTCGGCAGCAAGATCAGGTCTCGGACATGTAGATTAATGTTGATCGTGAAATGAACGTTAGGTTAAGGGTAGTGCAAATGCGCGAGGCATTGGTGGAGACATGAGATGACACAATGTCACAATTGAGAGAGAGACATGAGATGACACAATGTCACAATTGAGAGAGGTGTGGTAGGTTGCGGAGTGGGACTGTAGCCGGAATTTGTTTCGGATGCAAAATGGTGCTAAGTAAAACTTATAATCATATTCAAGCTTTCCCAAATACAAATGCTAAACAATGAAATGTGCTGTTTAATTATGTTGTAGACATTGAACATTATTCCTGGTTTGATGGTCCTGCTTATCAAGGGTCGCTTTTGAAAATTCAAAATGATCGATAAATTAAAATTTACAGATAACATCACGCCTTGAGTAGTAGAATGAAATAATGAAATGATAGCGAAATTCAGATGTCAACCAAATCTTAAGCCTCAAAGATCTTGTATTGAAAATATTCTGCATATTGCAAGCAGTTCATTATATGCTTATCGAATTTATCAACAAAATGACCATTTTAAATCAAGAAACTTTATCTTAGATGTATTTAGAATTAGTATGAATAAGCACCCATAGAGATACCAGTGTCAACCATACAGAACTATAAGAGACTTGACTTCATGTGCTAAAATGAATCAAAATAATGAGCAAAGGCCATAAATCATAGTTGTTTTGAAGAAGATTTCAATGCGAATTTCCCTCAACTTAGCTCACATTTGTCAACTTTGGCGCTTCATCGATAAATTTTACCTTACCTTATTTGATAGCTGCGCAATAGATTGGGGCATACTTATCTATTGTTTGTTTTGTGGCTTTTCTCATTATTTGCATCTTATGAAAGATTTCTAATGATTTGAACTACATCCTCTGTTCCAGTTGTAACAAGAAATTTCTCCTTCCTTCCAAGTTTCATTGAGAGCATTTTTCTTTAGCATACAACTATAATAATTACTGAAATAACTGCTGAAAATTTAAAGCATTTCTTAGCATTCAACTATAGTGGGAGGTATTGATACCCTGGGAAGCTGTCCCTTTTGATAGTTAAGTCTAGAAGTTGTGCTTGCCATTCAACTTGTATTTTGTAATCTCAGTTAGGCAGATAATAAGAAGTGTTTATTGAATGGATAAATCAAGTACACTCTTTTTTGTTATCTTCTCTTCTAAAAGGAACATTTTTTTCCTTGCTTCGAAGTTATTAAATTATAGATTTCATCGATTTTCTAGTCCATAGTTAAGAGGATTCGAGGTAAAAAGAAAAAAAGCATATTAAGAGCTCTAGAATTTATATTGATGTGCTCTAACAGCAATCCTTTAACACTTCCAGAATTTGTTTGGGAACTTCTTCATTTTTTTTGGAAGTTTTTTGTTTTGAAAGATTTACATACAAACCACTCAATTCTTGTGTTTTTACATACCTAACTGTTGAGAAATTAGGGCGAAAAAAAAATAGAAATCGACACAAAGCCATAAGACACAGAAATTTAACGAGGTTAGACAAAAATGCCTACGTCATCGGGAGCTGAGCGGCAAATTCACTATTTCAGAGGAGTCCAGTTACATATCCATATGTTTACACATCATATATATAGATAAAACCCAAAGATAAAATTACTAACACGCCTTCGCTCTCCCAAACCCACTAAATTCCAAGAGACACATCTTCAATTCTAAGAGACTCATTTTTTTTTTCAGGAGACACGACTCTTCATTCCAAGAGACTCCAAATTCTGATATATGAGCCATACTTAACAAATCTCCACCTTGACGAATATCCGACCCCTTAGGAGAAATACATATACCCAACAAATCTCCACCTTGGCAAATATACAACTTTAGGAGTACATAAAACATCATGGAGTTTTTTACATCGAAGTGGGTTGGGTAACCATGTCATCTAATAATTGCAAACATTCAACACGTTCAAGCAATGCAAGAACTTGTTGATAGTAGCTGACTTGGTCAATATATCTGCTGCATTTTCATCTTATGATTCAACAGAGTGAACCCATCTACAACTGTACTCCTTAACAGTTTATAGATATTATCTGCAGTGATCTTTACTTTCTTCACAGTCAATGCACCTTTAATAATTCTGATGGTTTATCTATTCCCATCTACCTTATGAATAAAATCATTTCTATATAAAATGCCCAAGGAAACTAAATTCTTCTTCAAATCTGGAATATGTCTTACATCACATAATGTTCTGATAGTGCTATCATACATCTTAATTCTGACTTTATCAATACCAGCAATATTGTAACATCTATCATCACTCAAATAGACTGAACCAGAATCATATAACTTGTATGAAGTAAACCATTCTCTGTTAGTTGTTATGTGAGAAAAATTTCTTGAATCAAGAATCAATGTATCCTTCAACTAAGTTGTTGTAACTAAGAATACACACCATCACTGTAATCTGTAATGTCACTTTGCACCATATTCATAGACTTGGAAGATACATCATGTTTCTCATCAAACTGCTTTTTGAGCTTTACTGCTTTTTGAGCTTTTGACAATCTCTCTTCATATGTCTCACCTCCTCACAATTTTAGCAATGAATCATCTTTCTGTCTTTAGGCTTTGACCTGGAATTTCGCATTCCAGAACTCTCATTCTCTTCTTTCCTTTCACGATCCTGCTTACCCTTGACATATAAATTGTCCCCATGAAAGTTTTCCCCTGCATTCTGCTTCTGCTGGTTGTGAGCCAACAATGCTACAGTAATCTCATCAACTTTGATTGTTTATTTCTCATATGTCAGAGTAGTCACTAGATGTTCATAAGAAGAAGACAATGAATACAATAGAATCATTACTCGATGTTCATCCTCAATACTCACATCAAGCCGTGTCAGATCTGTGATTATTTGATTGAAGACATTCAAATGTTGCGCCAGATCAGTGTCAGCCTGCATCTTCAGCCCAGCCTGCATCTTCAGCCCATACGCATCTTCAGTCTATAGTCATTTCTTCAGATACAGTTTATTCGTCAGAGATTTGGACATAAACTGATATTCTAATTTCTTCCATACTTTTCCTGTAGATTTAGATTCATAATATGATACATAATCTCATCTGTCGGAAATAAACGTATGGTACCTGCCGCTCGTAGTTGCAATTCTTCCCAATCTTCATCTTTCATATTATCAGGTCATATTATCAGGTTTTCATATTATCAGGTTTCGTAGCCCGCAAAACCTTCAATATTTCTTGTTATGCCAACAAATTTTTCACGCTTGTTTGCCACAATCTGAAGTTTCCGGTTCCATCGAACTTCACTATATCTATATCGAATTTTGCACCAGACATTGTTATTTGAAATTAATCCTGCAGCAAACTTTTCTTGCTTTGTGTCGAAACAAAAAACACACCACAAGTAAATTAAAAGAAACTTGAAATTTTCTCCGTCAATTGATGCAATTATGCTGTGATTTGTAAATCAAAATTTTCACATGAACAACTTTTTCTGTTTGCGCAAAAAAAAAAAAAAAATCAACCGAACTATTGCGAACACCTTGCCCGAAGCCCTTTTCTGTTCGCCTTAACTCCTCAACCGAACTCCACATGTCGCAAATCCTCCTCCGACAAACTTGCGAACTCTGCTGGCATAACACCACCGAACTCCTCTCCTCTGCGAAACTTGACTGCCGCATGAACTGCTTGCAAACCACTCCTTCGCAAACTTCCCTAGCTGCGGGAACTCTTCCATCGCTACAGGTCTTCTGTTGTCGCGAGATCAGCACTCACAGATCCTGAACTTTATGTCGCACGCGAACGCTGCAAACCCCTGCCTCTGTGGAAGAAGCGCGAACCCAAGTCGCAGGCGGAACGACTCGCGAAAATCGAAACCCTTCGTCTTCGTGCGGAACCGATCGGAGAAGAAGTCTGAAAACGCGACTCGCAAATTCTGGTCGCAAACCTCCAAGCGAATCTTCCTGCCGAAATCGGAATTACAGCCAACCTTCTTCTTGTGCCGACGAAATTTTTCTTCCTGCCTCAGAACCTCACTCTGATACCAATTGTTGAGAAATTAGGGCGAAAAAAACAAAAATTGACACAAAGCCAGAAGAACACAGATTTAATGAGGTTCGGCAAAGATGCCTCGTCCTCGGGAGAAGAGTAGCGAATTCACTATTTCAGATGAGTCCAATTATATACCCATAGGGTTACACATCATATATATAGATAAAACCCAAATATAAAATTACTAACACGCCCTCACTCCCCCCAACCCATTAAATTTCAAGAGACACCTCTTCAATTCCAAGAGACTCATTTTCATTCTAGGAGACACACCTCTTCATTCTAAGAGACTCCAAATAATGGTATACGAGTCATACCTAACACTAACACCTTTAATTTCTACTTGCATTTCACTTTACCTATGCATGAAAAGATTTTTTTCACATTTTAAAAGTGAATGCGGTGGTATTTTTGTTGTTAAATGGATTTTGGTGTTACAAGTGTAAAAAGCGAAGTATAGGTGTTAGATATGTAAATATATAGAATGTTCATTAATTACGGCATTGTTCTTACTCAAATTTAATTCTCTAGTCCACTTGTAATCATATTATTGCATTTTTCAATAATTTTCAACCAAATTATTTGAGTTTTAAGTCTGTACTGACCAACCTTAACAATATGTTTTTCTTTCCAGTAAAGACTTGGATTCATACGCTCCTCGCGAAGCTGTGAAGCTGAACACTGGCAGTGCAATAGTCGGAAATCTTTTATCGAGAGGACCAGATGAACCTTCTGTGTGGTCATTCAATCAATAGCATAGGATATAAAAAAGAGAAAAAAGATAAACTCTGCAACCTTTTTTGCCTGAAAGCGGTTTTATCTTTCTTTCTTTCAAAAAGAGAGTTCGGGAAATGAAGGAGAACCTGGCTGCAGGGTATCGTCGTATCCTCCTTAATGCAGATGGAATTCACGCGTTTCTGGAGCCATTGTAGGTAGAAGATAATCTCTTTTCTGTCTTTGTTACAGTGATTTCTAGAGAAGTTGCCATCTTTTGTAGGCATCTTTTTGTTTGCTTGATTGATTAGCTTATAAACGTAGATTTGATTGGCTTGGGTGTTTGTTTTAGTTCTAGTTTTTGAATGTAGGATTCAGAAAATGATTTACATGTGGTGGTCTTTTCAGAACAATTAGTATTGTGTATTGTTCTGTCAAATGGTTTACCAATTGCAGAATTTATCAAATTGGCACTCTTGGTTTTCTTAAAAGTTTTTTTTTTCTTTTCTGTTCATGCCAAAGGTTGCTTAGCTTTAGGAGGTGACAATGAAAAAGGGGAAGTTTGCCTAGATTGTGCACTCTATTTAGCAAGGGCGGAACCAACCTCTTTTTCTTGCGGTGTTTGAGCCGAATTATCTTTCATATAATTAAAAATCTGAATTTGAGCTGAATTATGGACCGAGTTAAGGGTTTATGGTTTGATAGATGGATAACATTAAAGAATTGTTGGGGTTTTGAAAATTTTGACGTTTCATACAGAGTAAAATTTTGTATGTATTTGGAATGTACTATTTAGCTCAATTTTGGTGAATTCAAATGCGACCGATTTGATCGATATACTACTGATTTATGAATGATGTATGCATACATGGACACTTTTTCTTTGGCATTTTTGTCATGTATGGTAGATTAGGTCATGCTAATGGAGATCTAATAGAACTAAAAAGAGTGCCAAAGTGTATTAATACTCTAAATATCTGTAGTCTATAGTTGGACTTTGATCAAATCATAAATAACAAATTGTGTTGTTTGAACCGTGCTCAAATTATGCCCAAATGTTATTCACTTGTATTTCAATAAAGTCCAAACATGGTTTGCTCACTCACAACTTTTATTGTATGGTTTGAATGACGAGTTATTAGGGGTATTAATGAGCCGAGACTCCCTAATCAACTCACAAGTCTAGTTTATCAAGCCACAAGCTTGTGCTTGTGCTTGTATATTAAATGCACTCGAGTTCAAGCTTAATAATAGTCGGCTGGTAGGCTCGTGAGTCCGCTCGATATTTAATAAAAAATTTAATAAATTAAAAATAAGTTTTTGTTAATTAAACAAAGTAGCTTAAGTTATTAAAAATGTGTTTTAAAATGCTAAAAGGTGCATCTTTCTTTATACCACTTTTTTGCATTTTGATTAGGAAGAACACAACGTAAGATCTCGAGCTTCGTAATAAAATGATGAGCTGAGCTCTGGCTTATAACATGGGCTTGGCACGAGCTCGAGTTTGAGCCATTATTTTGATAGATGAGCCAAACTCGAGTTCATTGTGATTCGAGTTGGACTCAACTGATAGTACAATAAAAAATATTTCCCTTATAGATCTCACTGATCAAGTATGCAAAGTGACAGCTTATTTTCTATCATGTTCAAATATTATTCAAGTTCTAATTGAACTTATCTTTGATTTGAGTTAATCCGTCTATTTAATGATAAATAGTATATTCAACATATGCTAATGGTAAATACTATAAAATACAAAAAAAAGAGGAAACTATCACTAAAAAAAAATATTGGCCTCATTAATGCCATTCATTGTCTTTAGCTGCAAAATTCTAATAAGCTATGGTCTCTCTCTCTCTCTCTCTCTCTCTCTCTATATATATATATATATCTGCGCGCGCGCTCCAATTTAAATTTATCAAATATAAAGAAAAATGATATTACAATACATATCACAGATATTCCTTATATTTATATATATGTTTAATCCTTAGGACATGATCTCATATCTTTCATGAGTACATATAACTCAGTAAAGGTCATGTTTTTTAGAGGAAATGTAGACGAGAGAGATGAGTGTAAGATCCAATAGAGATCTCATAGATTATCTATTGAACCTGAGTTTCCAGTAAGCCATAATATCAGCCTTAGCGGAGGTTTTTCGAGCTATATGGATTTTTAGAGAGAGAGATAGATTCTTAAGAAACCATGAAATCTCGAGAAAAAAGAGTTCCTTTCTCTCTTAGCTTCACTTTGTTTTTCTGAGAGGAGGAAAAACTTAAATATATATATATATATATATA